TTAGGAAATGAATATACAGGGGGTTATACACTTGTTATAGCTCTTTCTAAAGAGCTATTTGGCAAATATATACTCTAAAATATTACTTTAAAAAAATTGTCTTTTACAAAGAGATTTCGTCCATTTTCTAAATAATGGAAAAATGATCAACTATATGAATATGGAGACTGGTTAAATAATTTATTATACGGTCTCACAATGGAACAGAGAATTACAAACTGAAGCAAGCTCAAACTTTTACTTTGATTCCTTCCTTAAATACCTCTTTAAAAAATGAAGGAGTTTTATTTTATTTTATTGCCATAGTTTAAAAGGACAAAAATTAATGGGAGAAAAGAATACAGCAACAAAACTCTGGAAGCTGGAATGCAGATGTATGGATGGAAACAGTGGTGAAAAACACAATAGCAATCTGATTTATACTGCAGACTTCCCCTAATCATCAAGACTAGGATTGGTTTAACGCTTATTTAAGAACCATCTGGGCCTGGCCAGTGTGGCTCAGTTGGTTGAGTATTATCCATGCACTTAGAGGACACAGGTTCGATTCCTGGTCAGGGCACATGTCTGGGTCGTGGGCTTAATCCCCAGGATGTGTGCAGCAGGCAACCAATTAATGTTTCTCTCTCATCGATGTTTCTATCTCTCTCTCCCTTTCCCTTCCTCTCTCTGAAATCAATAAAAACATATTGGGGGGTAGGGTGGGGTGGCAGAGAGGGGAGAATCACCTGGATTTCAAAATGTACATCCATACATAAATCCACTGCTTCGAACCCAGTGTTCAATACCTAATTTTAAAATAAGAGAAGTCCTCTTATTTTAAAAAAGCCTCTAAAAAAAAAAAAAAAAAAAAAAAAAAAAGGAAGAAAGCCTCCAATATGGAAAAATAAGGGACCAAAATAACCAAAGAGAATTAAAAACAACTTGGAGAACATAGACTATACAAGAAGAAACTTTTCAAAAGATTATAATTTTCTCAGAAAGCTAATATTCATTTCTGAAACAAGTAGATATTATTTTTAAAATAGTAATAAGAAAAACATTCAGAGAACAAAAAAAAAGCACACATAAACAAAATACATTACTAAAATTTCAGGGGGGGAAAGGATATGCTAAGAAAGACAAGAAATCAGAATGATTTTTAAACCTCTAAAAAACAAGAAAACAAAAATTCTCTAATAGCTAAATAACAGTGAAGCAATGTCTTCATAAATCCAAAGGAAAATAACTTCTAACAGAATTCTATACCCAGATGAACTATCAAACTGTAATTATAAAAGACATGAAATGTTACAAAATATTTACCTATCAAACACTTTTTCCCCAAAAAGGAAGAGAATCTGTGCCACCAAAATAAAATATTAAATGGTAAGGAAGAAGCCATGGAGATTGGCCAAGTGGTTCAGTTGGTTGGAGCGTTGTTCCATACACCAATGATTGAAGGTTCAATTCCTGACCAGGACACATACCTAGGTTGTGGGTTCAATTTCTAGTCAAGGTACATATGGGAGGCAACTGTTCCATGTTTCTCTCTCACATCGATGTTTCACTTTTGCTTTTGCTCTCGCTCTCGCACTCTCTTTCTCTCTCCCTCCCCTTCTTTCTCTAAAATCAATAAAACAAATAAACATATTTTGGGGTGAGGATTAAAATTAAAAATAAAAGGCAGCATAAGCCATGATATTCAGCAAAACACAGTTTCAACCCAGGTAATAAGGCAAAAAAAATACACACAATAACAACAGAAACCACATCCCAGGATAATGGTGAAGAAATCCAATTATGACAGCTCTGTGTCAGGGAAAAAGAACTAATCCAGATTGGTACAGGTCATAAGGCTCCTGGAAAATACTGTTGAAAAAGATAAAATTAACAGACTAAATCAATGCCTTCAGAGAAGGTTTAGATAAGTAGACTCTTGAGAGTTAAATTAATCCGTATATACAAAATATAGATACTAACTCTAGGTAAAACAAAAAATAGTGCAGGAAATGAAAAGTAGTCATAATATGCTATATGGCTCATGGTGATTAGTATTTCCCCACCAAACTTTGAATATTAATTGAGCCAGAATTATGATAAAGTCCTAATGGAAGGATTAAGTAAAACAACACGCACACCCACATGAATATGTGTACATGAGTAAAAAAACTAAATCCTCATCTCTCATGGTGTGAAGGAAAGAAGATATAGCTAACACTGAAAAACTGAAAAAGCAATATAAACATTCTATTCAGAGGTAGGGATTGCAAGAGTTAAAATGGCTGCCTCAAGAGAGAGAAGAAAAAAAAATTGGACTAGTTCATTTCTTAATAAGCCAGAGTTCTTTAAAGTCTTATTAAAATAAAAGCTTACAAATATAAAAATTACATACCAAAGATTACAGATCAGTACTACTCAAAAGTAGCTACCAGTCTGCAATGATATAAGGAGCTTGTACCAGAACATAAATTAACTACATCGCTGAGAACACTGCTGACATTTTTTCTGTAGCAAGCTTTTCTTGATGAAAAGGAGCAATGCCTTGATTTACATTCTGGCTCAAGTTCCTAATATCAAGGCACTGTGAGTAGGTCAAGTATAGACGAAGGGTCAACAAACTTCTCTGTAAAGGGTCAGAAAGCAAATATTTTCTGCTTTGTAAGCCATAAGGTTTCACAACTGATCACCTCTGCCACTATATCATGAAAATAGCTACAGACATTATGTAAACAGACAGATGTGGCTACATTCCAATTTATTCATGACCCGAATTTTTACGGCATCTAACTTTCATGTGCTACAAATCATTTTTTTTTCCCTATGTAAAATCCATTCTTAGCTTGCAGACCATACAAAAACCACGGGCTATAGTTTGCCAACCCCTGTGGTAGACAGTCAACTTTGTTCAAAAGAAAAAAAAACTGTCAGAGTAGTTTCTTCTAGTATAAGTGTCTTTCCGTCTCTTTTTTATGCTTTTTTTTTTTCTTATTTTAAAAAACAGAAACAATGCTGAAAATTTTTTTAAAAAACAAAAAGTTTTAAAGCCATTTATCTACCTAAACACATTTTTCTCTCTATTCTCTAAGCAGGCCTATACCCAAATGACCTAAATTTAAGATCTTCCAGGAAAATGATTATTCATCATAACCTTCAATTAAATAGTTATTAGAAGCAATCTCCTGTCTCCTGGCACTGTAATGAATAAAACTTTGATTGTAATGAAAAAAGCCTCACCATGTTTTAAAACTAAACAGAAAAAGATTAAAAACACAAAACGGATCCTGGGATCCTGACATTTAAAAATGAAGGAAATGTTTCTAAATCCAGTTCTCCCTTTTCTAGTTACCAATAAAGTCAGGTTTAAGATGAAATACAAAGTTACTGACTCAGTCACCTAGTATTTTGAATTTCTTCAGCAATGCCTCAGTTCCCCAACTATCAAGGGCCCAAAACCTCAACATCTTCTAGGTTTCTCTACAACTGAGAAGGGGGCTGGTAGAGACGGTACATGGTAATGGGACCTTCATCTGCATTACTTATATCACAAGCCCTCAAAGTGATGATGGTGAAAATGGAATGCCTGCCACCCTTGTTCAATGAATGATCATCCTTTCATTGTGTAGCTATAGTCTGCAAATAGAAGAATTACAGGAAACATAAGCATAACCAAGTTAAGTTCTAATCAGGTGGAGCAGCCACCCATGTCTAGGTTTCCAAGCCAGCACAGCCCTCACACAACAAGAAAGCCAAGATCCGTCCTAGCCTGAGTCAGAATGGGAAAATGCGTAGGGAGCATCCAACCAGGAACTACTCCCACTGATGTCCACTAAACGGTGTGGTTATGGTTAACTTGACCACGGCTTGGAAACCATATACTAGAAGACGGAAAGGGACCATTTGAGCACTCTGTGACCTATTCCTGTGAGCATCATAAAAAAGAAAGTGAAGAAATTCAGCCAACTCCTCAGAGACTTTGTTAAAATTTTACTGTTCTAAGAGAATCGTTCCAGGATTTTTCAGGCTGACAGTGCCACCTAGTGGCTTTCAGTATTAAACTGTTTAGGCGATATTTGGGACAGCCACCTCTCAGTTAGAGGATATGAAATACTTAACCTCTTTTAGGCCATAAAGACAAAGTGCCCAGCATTTCCTGCCAAAAGTAAAAATAGGTTGGAAAACATTGCAGCACTTGGGGAAAGTGATAACAGGTCTACCCTGGCACCCCTCCCCACGCCACCCTCCTCAAGATACCAAAGCCTGTAATTAAAAAAAACACTTTGTGATTTTTAGACAGGGAGACAGGGAGACAGGAAGACAGGGAGGGAAGTAATGAGACATCACCTGGCTGCCTCCCAAATGCACCCAACTGAGGCTGAGTATCTAACCAGCAACCCAGGTACTTGACGGGCAATCAAACCCTCAGTCCTTGTTTGGTGCGCAGGTCAACACTCTAACCACTGAGACACACCAGCCAGGGCAAGAAAAAACACTTTTACAGTACCACTACTGGAACCAAATATTCCATTTCTTTGATGGAAAAGAGGTAGTTCTAGTTTCCATCAAAGAAATCCATTCCAGGTCACAGCAGTCAACAGCTCTCAGGGGAAAAAAAAAAAAAAAAACTATTACATTAGAAAAAAATCCAAAACCACGAGAATTCTAAAACAAAAGAAAAACTTGAGGTCATGTACATTTGTGCATAGAAAATCTAAGAATGCCGTTTTCCAAGCAGACAAAAAAAACCCCTAAAATATAAGTGATATTTCAAAGTGGCAATGTCCACAACTTTAACATATGAAGTTATGCAAATTTGCAAAAACAAATTTTAAAGTTCTTATGGTGTCTTAAGACCCCTTCAATAAACACACATGTGCAATCATGCAGACACCTCTACACACCAATGGCTTGCCCTGAAATAAGAATGCTTCCGTTTTTTATTGATTGTTCAAATGTCTGTATTATCAATAGCCTACGTAACAACAATCATTATGCATCTCAAGATGCTCAGAATGACTCACCTTGGCAACAAACTGCTTGTCCTTTTGGTCCAAGTTAGCGGTGGGAGGCACATAGTCTCTCCATATTCGCAGCCTGCGTTCCTTAGCAAACCTGACAAAAAGCAAGGATGCAAATCATTCAGACAGATTAGGTCAGCAAAGGGAATCCATCATCGCCATGGGAGCAAAGAGTACATGATCCTTCCACCAACAAGGCACCCAGAAGAAAGGCAATCAGTCAAATTTGATTAAAATGTGACAACAGCCACAAGAAAAAGTGTATAAGCAGCTATCCAAGATGCATATAGAAACCATAAACCCATCAATGGTAGATTGGCTCTAAATATGCAATTTTTTGAACATGAACAGTTCAAGTCCACCTTGATAATTAGCTCTTTGGCTTATTCAGCATCTCCTGAGTGACTACTATGTGCTAGGCACTGGAATGACAAACAGAGCAAATGTTCTTTAAGGGGAAGAATACATATATTAAACAAATAAATATACAGGATGGGGCAAAAGTAGGTTTATAGTTTTTCATACGGAAAATACAATAATAAATAATGCAAGAATAAACTTTCATGTACTCACAACTGTAAACCTACTTTTGCCCCATCCCATATTTTGTTAAATAAATAGGCCTGCTCAATTTCCATTTGAATTATGAAAAGGTTATCAGCTACCCAAAACTTAGGTGAAAAACAAGAACAAAATTGTCACTGTAGTGCATATAAAGATAGGAAAAATGGACAAAACTACAATAGAAGTTCACTAACAAAAACTGTAATAAAAATTTTTTAAAAAGTCACCCTGGCCAGTGTGCTCAGTGGTTAGAGGGCCAGCCCACAAACTGAAAAGTCATGGGTTCAATTCCAAGTCAAGATCACATGCCTGGGCTGCAAGTTCAATCCCCAGCCTAGGTTGGGACACATCAGGAGGTAACCAATCAATGTGTCTCTCTCACATCAATGTTTCTCCCATTCTCCCTCTCTCTTTCCTCCCATCCTTCCCTCTAGAAATTATCCTCAGGTGAAGATTAACAACAACAAAAGTAAAAAAATCATGTTGGCAGAAAAAATTTTCAAGTACTAAAGCAGATATTCTTTGAGTCAGACTGAGAAAGGTAAATGGAGTATGTGCAAAGCTTTAAAAAAAATAAATCAATGAGCAGCTAGCTGTTTCACATATTCAGGGGAAAGGAACTATATTCCAAAAACAGTATTGCAACTGTTTTTAAAGAAACGTTAAAATGAGAAAAAGACAAAGTCACATTGTAGTAGTTTTAAAATACATGAAGTACTTTGATAGAGATTTACTAACAACAAAACCACATCAAATATAGCATGCAGGCAAGTAATCATGTCATCAAAATATGATTTTTGTTCCTTAATCTAAACCTCTTTTATAATGATAAGCATTCTCTGAAAAATCCATAAAATCTCCTGGAGATGTTATAAAACATGTAGATACTACTGTCATTAAACTCACTTTCTTCAGAAAGAGGCAGAAATTTAAAGAATGCAGTAACAATTATCAACCAAAATAATAATTTAGAATAAACATACTGACAGGATTTTCTGAACCAAAAAAAAATGAGCATTACAGATTAATCAGAGATAGTTGGAATGCTATACTTCATAAAAAGTATCGCATCTTTGAATTGAATGTAATTGTGTAACATTAAAGACTAATACAACTTGTATCTAATAATTGTTTTTCTTAATCTACTTTTGTCAGACATACCATATCAAATGCCCCAGATTAAAATTTATTTTTATAAAAGATCACAAGTATTCCTGCTTACAGGTGTAGAAGGATGTAAAAGACTAAGAGAAGGGAAGGAAATTAAAGGCATTCAATTCTAGTTTTTGCACATCTCTTAGTTGTGTGTCTCAAAGGCAAAAATGTGAAGATATTGCCGAAACCGGTTTGGCTCAGTGGATAGAGCATCGGCCTGCGGACTCCAGGGTCCCAGGTTCAATTCCAGTCAAGGGCATGTACCTTGGTTGAGGGCACATCCCCAGTAGGGGGTGTGCAGGAGACAGCTGATCGATGTTTCTCTCTCATCTATGTTTCTAACTATCCCTCTCTCTTCCTCTCTGTAAAAAATCAATAAAATATATATATATATATATATATATATATTTTTTTAAGTGAAGTTATCGAGTCCAGTATAATTTTATAATTGTAAAATGAGCCATACGAGCCTGGAGAGTGGAACATCATCATCATCAGTGGTCAGTAGTCTTTGCTAAATGTATCCTGGGTGGTGGTGTCTGGGACTTCCCAGACTATTGCCTCTATCCATCTTCTCTTGCTATCTGCTTCATTTCCTGCCCTCAGCTTTTCTGCACCACCAGGTGAATGAGCTTCACCTGCACCCCCAATCTTTGAAATATCCACTATCCTTTTTTTCCTGAAATAAGTTATTTTTACATCTGCACCTAGCCAAAAACATGACAACAGCACCTCATAGTTGCATTAGCAGTTATAAATAAAACATACTTTTAAATAAATTAGGGCACTGAGCCTCACAACAGCACTGAATGGTCCTGTGTTAGGCTCATAAGCTCAATCTTTCCATCACACCCCTGGCTTAACCTTCTTGTTTGGGAGTAACTGGTAAGCAATTTCATTGCCATCAAATGAGTATCAAGTTTATTCCATTCCAAATACCTAAAACCCAGAATTGTAAAGGCTTGTAAAAGAAAAAAAGTGACCTGAAAACATTAAAAAAGCACATCAGGTGAAGAATAATGTCTTGAGTAAAAATCTATGTCCTTACTATACAGCACTGAATTCCACCAAAACTAAAGACTTAAAAGACCTCTATGAGATCCTAGCCTCTGATGTAATGCTGGAAGCCAATTTCAGCATGTCATAATTGCAAGAGTTTCATCAAAAGATTGATTGAACTTGGGGACTCAATAAGAGCTGAGTCACATACGTTGTCACCTGTTGGGAATGGCTAAAGACATTTCCCCAAACCTAAAAAGGATGCATTAAATTGATTGTTTGCTGTCATACAGCTCAAGGCATCTTAATCTATATGTTATTGCCTTCCATTAGCCAAACACCTGAACAGATGAAGGCAATTCCCCAATCTGACAATGCTTCTGTATTGAAACCCTACCCTTTGATGGGTACATCTCCACCCTGCCTTAGGACAAATTGTGCTAATAAAAAGCAAGGGGTCCTGAGACAAGGAGAACTTGATTTCTTCAGCCAAGCTCCTCTGCACCCCCATATGCCTTTCAAAATTATGTTTTGTCTCTGGACTCTTAGTTAATCTATGTACAACTCCTTCTCCAGATTGCTGAACCCTTCTAGATGCTGAGGATCAAGATCACCGGCATTAAATGACGCCCAATGTCCAGCAATAGTGTAATTTCTCTAATCCTTTACTGAAATAAAATGGACACTGGTGCAGATGAGTGAGAGATCACTAGATTTCTTTCCCCTAAGATCCTTAACAAGATCCTTGGCTGGAAGGTTTCCCTGACAGACCTTACCTCTCAGCTGCCCTCAGCTTTTCCGCACCCCTAGTGTACACTGCAATTGACCAATCCACACAGCGGGCAAAACCTTCCTTCAGGAGGAGCTCTGTGATGTTGCCATTCTGAAAAACAAGGCACAAGAGAAAGCAGGCACAGATTAAATTCGATGGCAAGTGAATAATTTCTCTAGTCCTCTGACACAATTAACAAACTCACAATCTAATTTGCAATTCCTTTAAATAACAACAATAACAAAAATACAACCATAGAGCCAATTTCCTCATTAAGAAACCAGCTCTAAAAAAAAAAAAAGAAAGAAAAAAAGAAATCTGCCTGAAGACTGAAAACTATCTTGTGACTCCTCTCCACAAACTTGGCTTCATATCCTCACAACACCAGCACAGTAACTCTCACTTAATAGGAATCGGATAAATGTTAGTGGCATTGAATGGAATTGACATTTCAATAGCTCTTCTTGTGGGCAGAAGAGGATGTTAATCTTTAGTGGAGATTACACCTTATTATTTCCTTCGCTAAGATCAGCACTTACTCCCCTTTTCATGAGGGGAAAGCTGAAGAATGAGCTGAGTAAGGGAATAACTTGAGCGACATTTTGCCCAATGAATTACAGCTCACATTCTGCTATGACACAGAGCCATCTGGCAGGACACGGGCAGACAGCTAGCACTCCAGAAGAAACAGACATGACCTTGGCATATTCCAAAGCAAGCCTCCCAGTTCTCATAACTGCCATGAAGGAAGAATTCTCTAGCCAAATTATAAGTAACATAATTGGATAGAGATTATAATAATGAAAATCCACTCAAGCTTGGGTGTTAAAAAAGGTCATTTTCTGTCCAAGAATAACCTGCCTATCAAAGTACACAGTAAGGTACAATTCACCAATAGTCAGAACATAAAGAGTCTATTTCCTGCTCAATAGCCAAGTTAGGGAGAAACTGGATAAGGCCTGGCATACACAACATAATTTTCCCATAGAAATATTTCCTCGTCATAGTTCTACCGATACTCCAAATAAGTAATTTCTAGACCAACATGCAAACTTGTCAATCCTATCGAGCAAGTTTCAGTGCCCCTTCTAATTGACGTGGCAATCTTCCACCTTCCCTGTGCACAACTTCTATGACCAGCACTTGGAAAAATAAGTGATAGCATTGTTCCTCTTCCCCTTGTAAATTCAGTCACATTTGAGATTAATTTCCTAAAAGTGAGAAGTTGCACAGATCTGCACAATTCTATCAGATAAGTGACATTTTGCTTGCAAATGCTGCAAAAACCAGTAGATACAACAACCCCATACAGTCCAGCCAGCATGGCACACTCACTGGATGAAGGATGGTACCCAGAACATTCTGGTTATGGCAGCTCTCCAGAATGATCTGAACATCTCTCTGAAGCAGTCGAGACTCGGTGAAAAATTTGGCTTCTGCAGCATAAGGCTCTGGTGTTTCACTGCCATCTGCTTCCCGTCGAAAAGTTGGGCACTACAGCAAAAGTAAGGTGAGTGAGTAACGCAACCTAAACGCCACACTGAGCCACCCAAAAACCCAGTCTAACAAGGCTACACTGGGGAGTCTCAGGGCAGGTCTTCTAACACTTCAAAACATACCAGTGAAAAGTAACTGGAAATAGCATCATCTCAGACTTCATGGCAAACCAAATAAAAGTCAAGTTATCATGGGGAAAGTAATTTTAATTACAGTTGGAAATGACCCTTTGCCAAGAAAAAACTCATCAATGCCTGGCATTAAAGCCTTAGCATTTTTTTTTTCAATCAAAATGTGTATTTCACATTAAGATAAGCCAAACTTAGCAAACTTTAGAGCCTCCCATCCTCCACTGCTGGGTTTCAACAATCTCTCTGCAAAGCCCACTCCAAACAGACCCTGAGTACTTAAAAGTTTAAAAAAAATATTATTTGATCTAACCGAAACCAGTTTGGCTCAGTGGATAGAGCGTTGGCCTGTGGACTGAAAGATCCCAGGTTCGATTCCAGTCAAGGGTATGTACCTTGGTTGCAGGCACATCCCCAGTAGGGTGTGTACAGGAGGCAGCTGATTGATGTTTCTCTCTCATCGATGTTTCTAACTCTCTATCCCTCTCTCTTCCTCTCTGTAAAAAGTCAATAAAATATATTTTTAAAAAAATAAATAAATACACACACAAATATACTTAGAATTATCTCACTGCAAAGTTTAAAGTAATCTAGCTAATGCTAATGGCTCTAAGAAGAAACAGCAGATCCAAAGCCCACAAGTAGAAAAATCTACCTATGACTGAACACTTCAACAAAACCTTAACCCACCCCGCAGTCCAGTGGTCTGACCTTGATGCCTGACAGCATGACGGTAACCAGGTAGTAATCTGGGAGGAGCAGGGCCCTGACCACACTGCCGTCTCGCACGTGTTCGATGATAGCTGCATGATAAAATAAATAGCTTAAGTCATTAGCAAAACTCCCGCCAGGGATAAACAATGCCCAATCAAACTGCATTGAACACAGTTCCTCTCCCCAACACCCTCTGGAAAGCCTCCCTCTGAAAAATGATGAAGGGCTGGCAGATCTTGAGTATTCACACAACAGACTCTTCCACAACTATTTCTGGGGCACACAGATCAGGAGTGCCTTCTATGTCTTCTGAACCATCTGGGACCTCCTGGCTCATACCTAAGCTTTGTTATCAGTAAGGTAAGTTGCTTATCAGAGTAGGACATGCCTACTAAAAAATAATAACAATTCAGGATTGGCAATAATTCTATTTTACTGAGTCAGTGTTCACAGGTTTCGAAGTAGGGCCAGAACTATATTGCGTGCGTGTGTGTGTGTGTGTGTGTGTGTGTGTGTGTGTGTTTAGATGTATAAAGAATATATATTTCTACCTCAGTTGTAAGGATGGCATTTAAGTAGCCTAGCCATCTTTTAAAAAACAGGAAGATCCCCAATGTGCAAAAATACCAGCAATTTGCCACCCTATACCAGCAAAGACTAACCCCTGCAAAGTATGTCTGATGCGACTCGTGTAAACTGGATCAAGTTTTCTTCCAAAATACTATTGTGTTATTTTACCCTTAACAATTCCCCGTGGATAGTAAATAAGCAAAACAGGCTTTATAAATCTCAAGAAGCTTGAGAGCAAATAGAAAGAAATCATCCCAAGTCACATCTGTCTTTGACCGCCAGCCTCACCATTAACAGGCTTCTGATGGTGTGAGTCCACAAAGTGCCTTGGGTTCTCAATGGTATACTTGAGGTCCCGGATAGTATGTGAACCATTCCCGTCACTCCACATCCCTTTCTTAGCTGACTTTGCTTGTTCCTCACACTCCGAAAGCCGGTTCTGCTCAGGACTGGGACATGAAAAAAATAAACATGTGTGGTTAGTGAGCTCCCCACAGAAATGCCAGGGTCTCCTTTGAAGAGATCAAAACATTTATTTCAGATCAATAGCTTCAGACCCAAGCCTATTTGTTCCTACAACAGATTCAAATGTAAGAGCATTTAATGAGAAGACCCAAAGAACACGTATCTCAGTATTGCCACCATCAGTGATTAAAAGAGAACAAGTTGGTGGCTCAGAAGGAAGCTGCTCCAGGGGGTACAGCTCCATTTAACAATCCAGATTCAGGAACTGAAATCCAGGCAGGACACAGTGCAGAGAAAGTGACTAAAGTGACTACTCCCTGTTGCCTGCAGAACAGGGCTGGAAAATGAAGAGCAAATACTGTTATTGCAGATAATGTTACCCCAAACTACCCAATATTCACCAAGGCCAGCTAAGCAACAGCAGTTTGAAAAGAAAAGACTCCTCCTTCATCAGGCAGGAAGCCACACTATATACAACAAGAGCAGCCAGAAAGTCAGCAAACAAAATCAGAAATGGCTCTGCTCTTCTCTCTCACACACGTGTGAGCAAAACAAATAACCTGAATGGCCTTTCCACAGTCTGGATGTCTAGGTCCATTAGTGGCTGCAGGCATAATTGCAATCTCCCACCACGATCAATAGGAATATCTAAGGAGGGACCCCTGCCTATAATTTCTCAAACCAGAAGTCTTAACTATCTATCTAAAAAGATGTTCATATCCTCATGGAACCAAAATCACATCCAGAATTCAATGAAAAAAGAAAAAAAAAATTGTAGCTTAAAGACAGAAGCAAGCCTTACAAAGGAGAAAAGGAGATTTTTAAGTCAAGACAACTTTGAGGAGCCCAGCAGGTGTGGCTCCATGGTTGAGCACCAATCTATGAACCAGGAGGTCATGGTTCAATTCCTGGTTAGGGCACAAACTCAGCAGTGTGGGGCAGGTAGGAGGCAGCCGATCAACAATTCCCTCCATCAATGATGTTTCCATCTCTCTCCCTTCCTCTCTGAAATCAATCAATAAATAAATATATATATATATATATATATATATATATATATACACACACACACACACACACACACACACACACAACTTAGAAGAAAAAAAGGATTGGTACACCAATGGAGATTTATTTGTTGAGATCCTACAATCCTACTATGAGCTTTTTAAAAATTCTTCATTGTGGTTGCAAATTGAATTTCTAAAATCTTTTGAGATGGATGGAGAAATACTCTGGAACTGAATACCTATGGCAGGGGTAGGGACTAAAATCATGCCAGCAATTGTCCTTAAGATACAACTTCAGCATGCTTCCACAAACACCACCTGAGACAAATGTTTTAATTTAACAAATTCCCAGCAAATGACTCTATGAAGTCATAAAGGACCACAGAAGTTTATGGTGAATGATTGGGCTCCAAGACTAAGATGAAAGGAAGAATGCAAAAAGTGCATTTTTGCCTTTGCTCATCCCCATTATTAGTACAGTCCATGCAAATATTTATCCAAAGCCATTCTACAGTGACAACAGTCAAATAATACAGCAAGGGCTTAATGATTTAAACACCATCTTTAGCCTCCAAATTGCTGATGTAGCTTATCACTTTTCAGAGATTAAAGTTAATTAAAGCCAGCTGCAATTCATTCTCCTGAGCGCCAACATGGTGAAGGACAACATGACACGTACTATACAGCCTCCATATATGACACTCATTTCTAATAAGTTCACAATGCCTTTAGCTAAACAAATCCATTTTTACCTACTACTAATTAAATATCTACAGATCCATAGACCAAAACAGACTTCAAAGGCTTTGGAGAGAGTTAAAATTTCCCTTACTTAAAAAAAAAACAAAAAAAAAACACACACACACAAACCATTGAGCCCTTAGTTTAAATTCTAAGCAGATTTTGCTTTGAATTCTACTTGGTATTTATTCTCTCCACTTTATTTTTCATTGCACTTGTTCCTTGCACATGATATCTATTTGTTCATTTGTTTCTTGTCTCCCCATCAAAATGTTAGCAGAAGCTAAGTATGTTTGCTCATGGCTCTATTCTCAGTGTCTAGAATGCAACCTGGCACATAGTAAGTACTCAATGAATCTTTTGAGATGGATGGACACTCAGGAGCTGAATATCTATGGTAAGGGTGGGGACATCCAGCCCACAGGCCACATAAGGCCCTCAAAATCATTTGATCTGATCCTGCCAAAGCATTAACTAAATGTTTGACCAAATCAGGCTCATTTTTAAATTGATAATTTTGTATGGCCCTCGAAGGATGCTATAAATATCCAAATGGCCCTTGGCAGAAAAAATGTTCCCCACCCTGATCTATGGTTTAAGACACAGCCTGTTGAGTCTTATGATATGAAGACTAAAGGCTGCCTTGTATGCCTGTTTTTTAAAGGAGTTACACACATCAAATGGTGAATGACCTGCTGGCTCAGAATAACCCACACCTGGGCAAGAATGTTCTAAAAGCCAGAGAGTACCAGAGTTACCCAGTTAATGTCAGGGGAGGGCAGTGAAACAGCAGCAAAGACAAGGTGGAGTTGACAACCCAACCTCCCTTGAGCAACCCCAGCTCTCCCAGTGGAGCAGAAGGAAGTCAGAGGGTCAGAGAATGATGAAGACTTACTTATTAGCTCGCATGCCTTCTCTCCGGGTAGCCAAACCCTCTGCAACCAGAGACTCTGCAATGTTTTCCCCATTGGTATCTGAGGAGAAAAAAAAGAGAATTAAACACCAGAAACAAATCTGCCTCCAATGACAATAGAGCTCAAATGAAACCCCCTCTCATCCTTCGCTCTTCAAGAAGAATGATGTTGCCAGAGAATTGGACAAGGCAGTAATGTAGTGTTATGTTTTTCAGAAAAACTTTTCTCCCAAAATCTCTAATCTCTAAGACCCAAAGGTCTATAAATCTTTTTCTCAGGACTTTGTTTCTAAGCTTCTTGTGTCTCTCCCAGGCCAAAGGCAATCTCAATAACGACGGGAGATTGACAAGAAAGCAAGACACATGTGGCACCACGGAGTGTATACAGAGCACTGACGTAGGAAGGAAGGCCTGGAGCCTAATACACCTTCTGCCAGGTAATGTCTTAGACAAGGTCTCTCAGCATTACTTTACTCCTCTATAAAATGAAAAGAGTACCTGCCAAGAGGGGTTCTTGTGAGAATTAAACAATAATGTCAGTAAATATCCAAGTACATAGGAATTAAAAACATACTATCGTATATATACAATCAGATAGACAGATTTGTTCAGGATTATCTATTACATTTTACACCAGAAAGTCCAATTCCTCTCAGGGTGTCCTATTATTTGTTCCAACAGGACACCAAGACAAGCTATGCAGTTTGACAAAGACTTTCTCCTGCTTTCTCACAGAAACATAGGGGACAGTGTATAGATTTCTAACCTCTTCAGAGCAGGCAAGAAAAGTAAAGGTAAACAAAAACCCAACCCAATAAGGTTTTTCCTGGGCACTTAAACCATTAATTGCATTTCTATGCTATTGCAAAAGCTTTTAGGTTCTGTGTATTCTCTTAAATCTCTGATTGTCAGCCAAAACAATAAAGGAAGCCATCTATGAGGGAATCACCACATAGAAATGTTTAATGTGGCAGAAATCAAGTTCCTAGATAAACTGATACACAGTAGTCTAGCTGATAGGTAATGTCAGCACAAAATAAAATTCCGTAAGATTTATATTCAATACACTATCCAATGACTTCTGCAAGCTAACAAATATATATGGTACCCCCAAACCCAATCTACATGCTTTGCCATTAGCATGCCCCAATTTCTTTCAGGCAAATTGTAAGCCTCTTTTTTTTTTTTTTTTTTTTTTTTACCAAGAAAAGTTAAGATGAATGATATTTACACAAAGGACGCTCAGGTTCTGAGGCTGAGCATGGATCACAAGAACCTTTCCACTGAGGTAACTGCTGAGGCCAGACACACACAGCTATCTGACATTAGTAAATATTACATTGGTTCTTTCAAAACAACAGGCATACAAAGAATGAACAGTCAAAAGGAAGGATTCAACAAATAAGGGAAAAGTTGAACAGTAAAAGGCCGGGGATGAAAAGAACAAAGATGGGGTACAAACAAGGTGATTGGCCATAAAAGCAGACCAATCAATAGCACACCAAACAGATATTTTTTTAGCACAGAGCTCTCTGATAATACTTGTCAGCAGACTCGCTTCTAAAAATTTAGTTCTGATTGCTCCTTCAAAGAGAGAAAAATACATTTCTCTGGGCCAACCTCCCAAAGAAGGCAATAAAATGTGGTAGACAGAATACTGAAAACGGAATCTGTAGAGATGCATCTGAGTTTCTTATTACTTATCAACTTTTGAATCTTATTTTGATTCTTATTTTGAATCTTATTTTGAATCTTATTACTTATCAACTTTTCAAGTCACAATTGAGGATGGCATTAGGAGTTGGAAAACTAATCATCTCTTTTTTTAGTAAGTTCTAAGTTACCTACAATTTCTTAAATTCTACCATTCTCTCCTATCATAAAAAGAGTGAGTAGCACCCTAGCTGATTTGGCTCAGTGGACTGAAGGGTCCCAGGTTCAATTCTGGTCAAGGGCATGTACCTCTCGGTTGCAGACTCAATCCCTGACCCTGGTCGGGACACAGGAGATAACCAATCGGAGTACAAGAGGCAACCAATCTATGTGTCTTCTGCACATAGATGTTTCTGTCTATCGCCCTCCCTTACACCCTCGCTAAAAAAATCAATGGAAAAATATCCTCAGGTAGGATTAACAAAACAAAACAAAAAAGAGTGAGTTGTCACAAACTAGAATAAGTACGTGAATACTAATTAATTATCTAAGCCATTTTTTCCTTTCAGGAGAATGGCATTGAGAGTTGGCTCAAGTATTTGAATGAAAATATTAAACTTTAAGCCATTTAATAAACCTTTAAAACTCAAAGATGTAAGTAATTTTCAATCATTCTTTCAGTACATATTTAATGATCAAATCCTATGTGCCAGGTTTTATTCTAAACATTAATGTGTTAACTACTAAATTATATCCACTTTATGATTTGGGTCAATTTTAAAAATAAACTTTTAAAAAACAACATTGAAGGATAAGGTGGCAGTGAGGGGATAAGGACACATGTAATATCTTAATCAATAAAGAAAAAAAATTTTAAATAACAAAGATTATTTTTAAGTGTCAAAGTCTCTTAACATAAACAGACCATTTTAGTTGAAGATGAGGGTTATTTAAATGAACTCTTGGATATATCTGTTCTGACAGTGAGGCAGGTCTCTTTCAGAATAACAGAAGATTGACCAGCTGTTATTAAACTGAAATTGTTTTAGGTATGAGATCCTTGAACAACTGCATTTTGAAGACAATGTACTTCACTTGTATTACATTCAGAATTTCTAACCAGTAGCCATCCAATAATAATGCTTGTGTTTTATTTCCTATTACTTGAATTATGTGTAAAAGGCAAATCTATCTATTTCTTTTTTTGAAAAGATTCCACATCCTATATAATAAAAAGCAAATTGACCCTCACACCCTTGCACAAGATGCCTGCCCCATGTGGTCAAAGATGGCCACCACAAGATGGCTGGCAGTTACCAGGCCAGCAGAAGAGGGCAGTTAGGGGCAACCAGGCCGGCAGGGGAGAGAGACCAGGCCGGCAGGAGAGGGTAGTTGGGGACGATTAGGCTGGCATGGGAGGGCAACTGGGAGCAACTAGGCCAGCAGGGGAAAGCAGTTAGGGCGACCAGCCCGGCAGGGGAGAGCAGTTGCGGGGGGGGGGGGGGGGGGCAGTGGATGGTATCGATATTTGGGGGTAACCGGGCCTGCAAGGGAAGGTAGTTAGAGGCGACCAGGCCAGCATGGAAGGGCAGTTAGAAGTTAGGGGCAGCCGAAGCCGGTTTGGCTCAGTGGTAGAGCGTTGGTCTGCGGACTGAAAGGTCCCAGGTTCGATTCCCGGCCAAGGGCATGTATATTGGTTGCGGGCACATCTCCGGTGGGGGGTATGCAAGAGGCAGCTGGTCAATGTTTCTCTCTCATTGACGTTTCTAGCTCTCTATCTCTCTCCCTTCCTCTCTGTAAAAAAATCAATAAAATATATATATTTTTTAAAAAGAAGTTAGGGGCAACCAGGCCAGCAGGGGAGGGCAGACGGGGGCAACTGGGCGCCAGCATGGGTGAGAAGTTGGGGGTAATTGGGCCAGCAGGGGAGGGCAGTTGGGGGCAATCGGGCCAGCAGGGGCACAGTTAGGTGTCGATCAGACTAGCAGGGGAGTGGTTAGGGAGCAATCAGGCTGGCAGGCAGAAGCGGTTAGGAGCAATCAGGGAGGCAGGCAGGAGAGTAGTTAGGAGCCAGCAGTTCCAGATTGTGAGAGGGCTATCCAACTAACCAGCAGTCAGATATCCCCTGAGAGGTCCCAGATTGGAGAGGGTGCAGGTTGGGCTGAGGGGAAACACCCCTCCACCCCCCCAGTTCACAAATTTTGTGCACCTGGCCTCTAGTACTACTATAACTTCCCATCCAATCAAGAAGAAGATAGCCTTTTGTCTGAGAGGCTTGCAAAGATAGTGTTCCTCCACTGGGTAAATTCGACAAGACACCTCCAAGGTCATGCCCATCTAATACCCTGTATTGCTTATCTAATATCTTACAATTAAAATCAGAATCTTAAGAGAATGATATTAGCCTTGTCATTCTACCCTGCTTGCTTACTCTAGCACTAACTAACAAAGTCAAATGGATTATGTAAAGCAGCTTAACTGGAAGGTTATTTTATCAAATAATCATAGGAAACAAAAATATCCAAAATAATTTCAGATGAACACAACTATTTTATGCTTTATAGAGAGCATTCTACCAAGTAATTCAATGGCCTATTTCTGTTCAAACTCTATTCCACAATCTTTCTCCCCCAGAACACCTAATGTCCCACAAGCCATCTGATCTAGCTCAACAATCGGCATATGTGTACACATACACAAATGCATTTACTGAGCACATACTCTGTTCCAGAGATAGGTACTTTACATATACTATCTCTTTAAATTCTCTCAATAACTTATAAATGAAGTAACTAGGACTTAGAAAAGTTAAGGTTAAATTACGGTCCATGAGAGGAGGGCCAGGTTCTAAACCACATATACACAACTCCAAAGCCTGTGTTCTTCCCACTGCAAAACACATGGCTAACAAAAAAACCACAAGCCATAAACAAATCTTCCTTAGTAAAGAGAGTCCCATGATCAGAAGAAAACCCACAAGATAGATAAAGGGAATAGAAGATGTAAGTGGAAATCTATAGGAATTTAATTAGCACTATGGCCTAGAAGCACACAGCCACTGAGTTCTACACGCTAAGGGCCTAAATACAGGGAAGGATGTATGCTGTACAATAAGCATGTCCAACTCTAAGGCTAACACGAAGCAAATAAACAAGGTTTAAGTTTATGTGTGCTGCAAAAAAACAAAACCTTTAATTTCCTTTGAAACATAGGTTTATTAAAATAGAGATATGCTAAATACAAAGGGCTGAAATAAATGAGTAATCGTTGGCATAAAATAATAGAACATTTTAATAAAAATATTTTTTCTTAAACATTAACTTACCAGACACTGAATAACTGCACAGATTAATAAGTGTAATGCAAATAAACCTATTTTTCTTGTTCTCCAAAAGCTAAATATTTCCTGTTGCATACACAAAAAAAAGTCATACAAGACTAATGGCGTGGCAATCGGCTGCTAAAATATTCGCTGCTAGCTGTAGTGGAGAGAAATGGTGCGCAGGTGCGTAAGAGAAATGAATGTAACACAATTATAGCAATCAGTCATTAGCAAACATTGTAGTTCATTATTAATAACTTGAGGCCTGGTGCACAAAATCGTGCACTGGGGGGGGGGAGGTCCCTGAGCCCCTTGTGCAGTCCAGGAACTCTCAGGGAATGTCCGACTACCAGCTTAGGCCTAAATTGTCAGTTGGACATCCTTAGTGCTGCCAGGAGGTGGGAGAGGCTCTTGCCACTGCACTCGCCAGCATTCCCCCTGTGGGAACACACTTACCACCAAGGGGCAGCTCCAGCATTGAGCATCTGCCCCCCCCTCAAGCGGTCAGTGCACATCATAGTGACCAGTAATTCCGCCTTTTGGTCGATTTGCATATTAGCCTTTTATTATATAGGATTATGTATAACAGGATATTGTAAAAATTAAGTCACAAAATTTTTATTAAGATGTTTCTTACATACCATTACATTAGCTGGGCCGCAAAAATATTGGTTGTGGGACGCATGTGGGCCTCGAGTTTGACATGCTTGCTGTACAACATACATCTACACCAAGCCAGGAAAGCAGACAGGAGCAAATAAGACCGGAATATCAGGGAACTCCTCTGCATCTATGTGCCACGAACTCACACTTCCAAGTACATCAATAGCCAACTGTCCCAGAGCTACCTCCACCAGCACTCACACTGGCCTTCCACCATACAAAAACTGATGGGAGGAGCTTGAGCCTCAGAGAGGAGAGAGATGAGTCCTTTCTCCTTGCTACTCACCTTTTCCAAGGTAGATCATGCCATACTCTCGTCCCTGGGGAGTCTTGTTTTCTATCGTGAAACAAACTTCCTTCCCAATAAGCTTCTTCCGAAGGAACTCTCGAGCAGGAAATGCCCAGGGCTGAGAGACAAAACAAACGTGTCACATGAGAACTGCCGAGTTCCCCACCACAATCATCATTCAAGTTCATTTCTTCAATATCCTGGCCCTGCAATTGGCCCTAAAAATATAAAAATGAAAATGCCCACAACCCAGATTGCACACTTAGGGAGCTCATAAAAAGAGGGTCTTGCAGTGGGTTTAACTAGCACAGGCCTTGAAAACAGTTTCCCAGTCACTGGCAGTAGTACTTTTTCCCACATCACTGTCTATTCAGAGCTATAGCTTACATTGTGAATAATAATTGCCCATAATTTTACAGCACTTACCACATACCAGCCATTACTCTAAATGCTTTCTATTTATTAGCCCACTTCTATGTGGGAGGTCTGGATTCTAGAAACTTACCTAGCCAAAGGGAGAAGTCATAACGACCTCCATTTGTTCGCCTCTATCCAGTTTATGAAGTCCTTTCACCAAATATTAAACTGTCCTGAAACCAGTTCAAAAGCACCATCCAAGTAGAAATAAGGTTCTAAGGCTATTCTTATTTCAGAGTTAGTCAAGTTAGAGCCTTGCTATGTCATTTCCTCCACCTTTTTTAAGAACAGCCAACAGAGTTGAGAATGGCAAGAACTATTCTCCCCAAAATGTCTCCTCTTCTACTGCTCTAACCTGAAGCTATAATAGTGGGAACCTCCCAGGATCTTGGAGAGGACACCAGTAACAGGCCCTGGTCACATGACAATGACACAATGGCACACATCCACACCATGGAGGCAGTAGTCTCCATGTAATCTCAAGATACTGTGCAAAGGGATGGTTTTGTCCCATCCACAGCCCATCACTTCTAGGATGGCTGTCTCCTCTGAAACAGCCCTGTCACAGTCAGTGGCAACAGGCCCTTGAATTTACAGTCTGGACCTAGCTCAGTGGCCCAAGTTCCCTTAAAAAAGAAATGAGGAAGGAGGGGTAAGAATTCAAGGAGCATTATGATCAGCAGGAGCTCACGGGCAGAAAAAAATGCAAAGTATAGAAGGAAAGAGTGGTATACGATAAGCAGCACTGTCTATTATGATCTCATAGACCCACAAAACTCGGGCCACCCATCCTAAATAGGGGTGGGGAACGTCAGGTCCGCAGGCCACGTAAGGTCAGAGAAATCATTTGGTCTGGTCTTGCCAAGGCATTAGGGTTAATTAAATGTTTGACTATAGCAGGGTAATTTTTAAGTTGATAATTTTGAATGGCCCGTAAATTATGTTATAAACTAGAGGTGTCCCTCAGACCAGCCTGCACTCGCTCCAATATGGAACCACACTATCCGGTGGGATCAGGCCTAAATCTGCGGTCAGACATCCCTCTCACAGTCCAGGACTGCTGGCTCCCAACTACTTGCCTGCCTGCCTTCCTGATTGCCCCTAACTCCTTCTGCCTGCCAGCCTGATCAACCCCAACTTCTCTCTTCTGCCGGCCTGGTCACACCTAACTGTCCTCCCCTACAGGGTTGATTGCCTCCAACTGCCCTTCCTTGCAGGCCTGGTCCTCTCAACTGTCCTCCCTTGCAGGCCTGGTGCCTCCCAACTGCCCTCCCCTGCTGGCCATCTTGTGGTGGCCATCTTGTGTCCACATGGGGGCAGGATCTTTGACCACTTGGGGGCAGCTATTGTGTGTTGGAGTGATGATCAATCTGCACATTACTTTTATTAGATAGGATAGAGGCCTGGTGCATGGGTGGGGGCTAGCTGGTTTGCCCTGAAGGGTGTCCTGGATCAGGGTGGGGGTGACCTTGGGGCATGAGCAAGGGGCCTGTGGTGGTTTGCAGGCCAGCCATGCCCCCTGGCGACCCAAGCCAGAGGCCCTGGTATCTGGAATTTATTTACCTTCTACAATTGAAACTTTGTAGCCTGGAGCAGAGCCAAGCCTCCTGCTTGCTCCATGGCTGCCACCATTTCAGTTTGGATTTGTTTACCTTCTATAATTGAAACTTTGTTGCCTTGAGTGGAGGCCTAAGCCAGCAAGGGCAGGCGGAAAGCTTGGCTTCTTCCATTGCCTGGGAAGCCCAAGCTTCCCTCCTGCTTTCTGTGGCTGTAGCCATCTTGGTTGGGTTTATTTGCATACTTGCTCTGATTGGCTGGTAGGCATGGATGAGGGCATGGCTTGGGGATGTAGCAGAATCATGGTTAATTTGCATATTATTCTTTTACTAAGTAGGATATCCAAATGGCCCCTTGCAGAAAAAAGGTTCCCCACCCCTGCAAGGAACAAAAGTATAATATATACATGATCTGAAAAGAAACCCTCTGCTGACATTTCTAGCCCATGAAGATTGTTACATAGGTTATCCAAAAAGCTTTTCTATAAGAAAAACGTCCATATGACTTCCCAGAAACCAGAAGCCAAGCAACCAGTTGGGTTGTATACACAATACCAGTCCTGTTATATAAATCAACTGCAGATGGTTCTAGGAAGAACTGATCCTGAGTAAGTGATCTCCAAGACACAAACACTTATACTCAGTTATCTAATTCTCTCTCTTCAAAGCATCAACAAGCAAAAGAACCAATCACCAATGGCAATATATACTTTAAGTATATATGTTTTATATTCCATTTATACACATTGTCCCACTCCTAAATATTAAAAATAGTACCTGTATCAAAGTCTGATGACTGATAAATTAGCCCAATTACCAACCAATCACAAAAACACTTAATCTAATAACACAGGCTCCTACCATTTTTATTAACTTAGTGATGCACTTACTCTAAAAATATCTTCCACTTTAGATCTAATGCTTAAGATCTAGTTCTGAGTGCCATACTATCATCTAAAATTCAATAACACACTGCCTTCCTAAATATTTAGGAAAATTCTGGTAAGACAAGGACTCCTAAAGGAGGCCTAGACTTTGGTAAAAATTCACTTATCAAGTGTCAGTTTACAAGGGACTATCTAGGCCCTGTGGGGAAACCTCCAATATCTACCAACTAGGCAGAAAGACTAAAATCTTTTAGAGCTTGCTGAAGGAGCATCCTTACCTAAGGACATTCCATTTTACAGCTGGTCAATCACTAGGCCATGGGAGAAAGTCACATTGGAGGGATTGAAAAGGATATATACCTAATCCTGTAAGGAAAAAAGAATCTAGTTTTTGTAACCTTCCTTTCTTAAACCAGCCTTCTCAATTTGTATTACACCAGGGCTGGGCAAATTCATTAACTGGACATGATCCTATCTAATAAAAGAGTAATATGCAAATTGACTGTCACTCCAACACACAAGATGGCTGCACCCATGTGGACACAAGATGGTCGCCACAAAATGGCCATCAGGGGAGGGACCAGGTCTGCAAGAGAGAGCAGAGGTAAGCGATCAGGCCAGCAGGAGAGGGCAGTTGGGAGGGACCAGGCTTGCAAGGAAGGGCAGTTGGGGATGATCAAGCCTGCAGGGGAGGGCAGTTAGGGGTGACCAGGCTGGCAGAGGAGGGAAGTTGGGGACAGCCAGGCTTGCAGAGAAGGGCAATTGGGGGACGGGGGGGGGGGGGGGGGGGGGACGGGGAGAGCAGGGGGAGGAGACAGGGACCCAAGTCTGCAGGAGAAAGCAGTTGGGGGTGACCAGACCCACAGGGGAGGGCAGTACTTAGGGGCAATCAGGCTAGCAAGGGAGCAATTAGGCATCAATCAGGCTGGCAGGCAGCAGTTAGGGACAATCAGGACAGCGGACAGGCGAGCAGTTGGGAGCCAGCAGTCTTGGATTGTGAGAGGGATGTCCCAGTTTGGAAAGGGTGCAGGCTGCGCTGAGGAACACACACACCCCACCCTTCATGAACGAGTTTCAGGTACCAGGCCTCTGGTATTATATAAAGAAAGGCAACTGGGAGAATTAGGGAAGAGACTAATCACCTCACTCCTCACAAGGGCAACAGGAACTCCAGAAGAGAATCTATGTAAAAGTGTCCACACAGATGACAGCCAGCAGCAAACTACCTGATGGAGAAGGCTATCCCAACAGAGCCTCCTAAAACAACTCTTAAGAGACAAGTATAGGGAAATTTTCTCAAAGCATTTATCAAATAAGGCCCAGCAGGACCAACAGGAAGAATAACTGTAGTCTTGTTCAAATGATGTTCCAGGGCTTCATCTAAGAAGTAAATGGTCATTAAGCAATTGAGAATCAAAATTCCCTCTTCCCTTTAGAATGCCCAATAGTGGGCAATCTAGCAGCCTGCTCTCCACTCCTAGACTCAAACAAGTTCTGATGTCTACCATGATAAAATTAAAAATTCCAATCTTTTCTTTGGACCAAACTTCTGAACTACTGAAACAAGATTAAATCCCATAGTAATGTAAAACCTTAAAGCTACCTACTTTTGTATCTGGTCCAGTGTTTAATACTTCTTGTCCCTCCTTCTCTTCTTCTTTTTTTTTTTTTAATATATTTTTTTTATTTTTTTACAGAGAAGAAGAGAGAGGAATAGAGAGCTAGAAACATCGATGAGAGAGAATCATCAATCAACTGCCTCTTGTACACCCCCTACTGGGGATGCGCCCGCAACCAAGGTACATGTTCTTAACCGAAATTGAACCCGGGACCTTTCAGTCCGCAGGCTGACGCTCTATCCACTGAGCCAAACCAGTTTCAGCTCTCCTTCTCTTCTGATCATCCCACTGTACCACCTGCATGTGTAACTAATCTCTCTCTGCTCCACCCACCCCACACCCCAATTCTCAAAACTTCCACTGAGCACAGGACAATGACATTCATTTCTATATTCCTCATGAAACCAACAGAAGTTCATACATAAGAGGAGCTCAGTAAATCTGCAGAAAATAAATATATAATTCCCACAGTGCCAATCAATGCAGTATCTAGGCTGCCTAGAAGCAGTGAGGCAACAATGGGGATTAGCCTGCAACAGCACAGTGATGCCTGGGGACACGCTATGGGGTTGCTTTTGTTGCCACAAGACTTAGGAGAGAGAACTGAGTTTCTTTGAAAGAGGTAACGTGAAGGAAAGCAGAAAAATAATCAAGTGAATGATATTTGGGATAGTACAACAAAGGGAAGTGAGTAACAATGTCCTTGACTCTATCAGAATGGGAAAATATTAGACAACTTGTTCGAAAACAAAAGTCAAAAACAAGGGCAGTGCCACATTACACAATCCACTGATTCCCCAGAAAGAAATACGCAGGTTCTTTTCCTCATTGTTCGTGTAAATGTGCATTCTCTGTACACCTGCTTCACATCAGGCATTGAGTAGGCACGTGATGAGAGATAAGGTCCCTTCTCTCAAGGAGCCTCCGTAGAGCAGGATATATAAACATGCAATAAAATGTTATGAATGCTAGGACAGCACAAAAATTGAACAAAAAGAAATGTCAGGAGTGACTTCTCAGGAGGCTAACTCTTTAGAGATGGAAGGTGTTCACCGGGACCAATGCAGAAGGAGCTCCTGATGGAGGAAGCAGCAGAGCCAAGGCACAAGCAGGCAAAACTTAAGCGGTTCTTAATGCTTTCAGCATGGCTGGAACTTAGCATCCGGAACAGGGTCAGTAAGAAACTAAACGTCAAACCACAAATGGGCTTGACTCCCAGGCTAAGGCATTTAAATTTCTCACAGAGGTAATGAGGAATCACTGAAGTCTGGGAATTATACTGAGCAAGGAAATAAATGTATGTTCAAAAAGATCTGGGAGCATATATAGAAAGGATTAGAAGGAGAAAAAAGGCAAAGAGACTATTATGTCAATATTAGAGGCCCCGTGCATGAAATTCGTGCACTGGGCAGGGGATGTGTCCCTCAGCTCTGCCTGTGCCCTTTCACATTCAGGGAACCCGTGGGGGATGTCCGCCTGCCATGAGCCCAACTTCTGGCTGAGTGGGGGAAGACAGCGGGGAGGTGAGCACCGCTCAACCAGAAGCTAGCTTGATGCTCCTTAGGAGTTGGCCCTGACCCACCCCCACCCCTGCCTGCCGGGCCACTGGTCGTTCAGGAAGATCATTCTTGCTTTAGCCCTCACAGCCCCAGCTTCATCCGGATCTGGACTGGAAGGGGTCAGTGGGGAGGGAGGGAGGAAGGGAGGGAGGGAGGAGAGAAGGAAGAAAGAGACATATGCTATACTTTCAACAATAAAGATTTAAATATATATAAACAATAAACAAATAAGATTTTTAAAATAATTAAAATAAAATTGCTTCACTGCCTTCTTTTTAAAAAAAAAAATATATATATATATATATATATATTTTTTTTTATTGATTTCAGAAAGAAAGGGAGAGATAATAACACCAATGATGAGAATCATTGACCAGCAGCCTCCTGCACGTCCCCTATTGGGGATCGAGCCTACAACCCAAACCTATGCCCTTGACTGGAATAGAACCTGGGACCCTTCAGTCTGCAGGCCAACATTCTATCCACTGAGCTAAACCAGCTAGGGCCTTCACTGCCTTCTTAATTCAAACAAAATACCCTTTATTAGAGATGAAAAAAAACTAAACCTTTTCCCTAAATAAAAGATCCCCATGAGCTGCTATGTCAGGGAATAACAGAGGACAGCTAAGATACCAACTTGTCCAATATCATTAAGTTGGGACAAAGAAAAAAAAATTTGAATCCAGAAATTTCATTTCTGAAAGCCAAAGCACAACTAAAGGAGAGACAAGAGATGATGTTTGAAATTATAGAAACCAAAAAGATTAAACAATTAAGACTACCAAATTAGGACTCGTAGCAGATGCCTGGAGAGGTAAGACCTGAAGGAGCCCAAGGCAGGCCACAGGGAAGGCTAGGTACCTAGGCATTCATGGTAAGGAGATAAGGGATAAGGAGGGGATGGTGGAGTAAAAGCTCAGAAGTTTCTCAAATCACCCTAACACCATGGTTCTTGACTAGTATTGAGCCACAGTTGCTTTGAGAAACTGATAAAAGCTCCCTTCCTTAAAAATGCATGCTTACAAAAAATTTTGCAAACTTCATAGCGTTCTAATAGTTTTATGGATTCCAGATTAAGAATCTGTAATAAAGCACAGGCTTAGTGTTTACAGTATGCTACCATTTAAATGAGAGTACTTGCACAGGCAATAAATTTCTCTGGAAGAAGACACAAAACACTAGTCACGTAAATAGTCCTTGGGGAGAAGAGCTTGATTTTTCACTGAATACCCTTCTAAATTTTGAATTTTATGTGAGTGTAGAATTCAAACATAAATTAATAAAAGAGCTCTGCCAAAACCAACGCCAACCTCACGTGGCCGAGACTACGTAGGAAATATTCTAATCTATTCCAAGAGATGTAGATGTGAAAACAGACAAACCTGAAAGGTGAAGGGTATGAGAAAAAGTCACCAAGGGCAGTGAATATGTACAAACCGATGCAAGACACTGTGGGTATGTCCAGGATCATCATTCCTGTGATATAAAAACAATCAAAACATACAGAAAAGGAAGTGCAGATCAGCCTTCAATCGGACTGGGCTACCACCTGGGTCCGCAGCCTCAGGGAGGCCTCTGGAAGAACCTACCTCATCAGGCGTATCTTTTGCATCTGGTTGTGCTGCAGCCGCTCGGCGGGCAAGGTTTCCAGCTCGAATGTTGCTAAGATTGATCTGTCTCTCAGGAGGAGGCCCACCACGAGGCTGCCCTCGGACAATGATGGCACATCCTGACAGGACCTGAGGGTGGGTGAGGAAGAAAATAAGGGAAAATTAGTGATCTAGAGGTAACAGCACCATAATATAGACTGTTCAATACTGTATCCCCAACATATAGAATAGTACTTGAAGGCACTTAAATATTTGTTGAGTGAGTAAATGTCCCCATCCATACATTCCATTTCAAAAGTTAAATGTCTCCATCCATACATTCCATTCCAGGGCAGAAGAAATGGAAGGTCCACACCATCAGAAGAAGCTGAGTAAGAGCAGTGCAACCAGAGTGCAGTGCTCATACTTTGTCCAGCCTGGACAAAGCACTAATAGTCCAGGCTAAGAGAGAAATATAAAAATAATCTAGAAAACTCATGTTCTAGATGATTGAAGCAGAAAAATCTAGGAAGCACCTTAAGGCTCCTAAGCACAGCAGCTCTTTTTATCTCTCTAACCAAAGACACCAGGCATAGAATCCCCTTGCAACTGTGAAAAGAGTTCTGAAGCTCATTGGTATTTAACTTTTATACATTTGCAGGGAAGAAGAAAGGATTTCAAGTGGAAGAAGAGAAGAAAAGGAGTAAAGGAAAAATGACAAACTATTCAACTATTCAAGTTGTCTTTGCTCAGTGATACATGATTTAATGAACAGTTGAGCTCAAGCACTGGCTTCACTAGATCTGAAAGACCCTCATTTCCAAGCTTCAAAACAAGAAGAGCTGCTGACAAGATTAGGGAGATCTGCCAATCTGGAGTTCTAAGTAAAGGAACAGTCCATGGAAATGGAAGTTGAATCAAAGGAAGAAAGGAAGGAGTACAAAGGGAAGTCTCTCCTATACACATCTGCTTAGCTGACAATTCATTCACCTCTCCACCTTAACATACACTCTTAAGTTATAAAATATTAATACATAAGTCTGGAAGTACATTGAAACATAAATGTACATGTTAAATAATAAGATAAACAAATAACTGAGTGACCACCACCCAAGTTAAGAACGAAGACATTGCCAGAACCTTGGATCCCCTCCATGCCTCTACGTTAGCCCCCCTTCCTTCTCCCAACCGCCATTATCCTAGTCATCGTGACAATCCCTCCCTTTCTTTGCCATCTAAGTATACATCGCTAAGCAGTGTGGTTTCATTTTGCCTATTTCTGAACTCTATATAAATTTAGTCTACTGCATGTACCCATCATTAATTTGCTTCTCTTGCTCATTGTTTTTTGTTAGGGGTTTTTTTGTTTTGTTTTTTTTGTAAAATGAATTCATAATGATGTGAAACACTAATTTATTCACTTTCACAGCTATATAGTATTTATTCCATTGTGTAACTTTACCACAATTCATTTATCCATTCTATTATTTTTTACAGAAACTCTGTCCAACAAATATACAGATTCAAACTTCTTTAAAAAATAGTGTTCTAATCAATGTCTAAATATCCCCAATACCTTCAGCACACAGACCTTGGTCTTAATGACTCCTCCCTTAGATTACTGAAGCTACACCATGACACACACAATAGACTGTCTCCTTACCAGTTACAAGTCATGCTCTTCATTTTTATCCTTTCTGATCAGGTGTGACCAGCGATTAAACTTTACAGCTTCCAGCCTAACACCCTTGCTACAGCCTTTCCTGAGAACCCATGCCCTGGATATAATCCTAGGAACTGACATTCTAATAAGGTACACTCTCAAGCAAAGCAAAGCCAGGGAAGAACATGTCTACTAAGGCAGAGGCTGCTTCATGTTCTTGAAATGAGAAGAACCAAAGAAAAGAAAGAGAGCTCGGCTCTGATTCATTTATAGTTAATTCTTCACGAGTGGCAGGAATAAGAATAGCACATTCTAGAATACCTACATGAGATCACTCATTCCAAAATTTCAAACAGGGCTGAGGAGAGTCCAACAACATACAGCAGAAAAATCAGAGCATCTATCTCCAATACCTGCTCCTCAGTTTTAGGCAAATTTTCACAAAAAGTAATGAAATGAAGCACTCCCAGGAGAGCCAGTACCTCTTGGTAAGCCCAGATGGAACACTAAGATCCATTTACAAGAAAACTCACCTTGGCTAATCAAGTAAACTCTGATAAGTGAGCACCAACCCAGGCTAGGATACAGTCCTTATTTCTCAGGTCTGACAAAGGTCACTGAAAAGCTCACGAACAAAATGAATGACAAGATGAGTCCCCCTTTTCCCCTAAATACATCAGGAAGGTATTACTTCTAATACCTCTTCCTAGTACACTAGGTTCCTGGGGAACAGTGGGGCTGTAGCTATTATCCTAGTCCCATTAGGCCTTTGGTAGACAACTTGTACATGGGAATTTTGCAAAGCTTCCTTTGTATACCCTCCATTCTCTGGAAATGTTATTCTAAAAACTGCTATCTGAACTTCTTTTATATTACTCCAAATAATGCCATTCAGACAATAGTCAATGACTGAATTAATACTGCAGAGATATGAATTTTATTTTATAGGTTGCTCTATACCTTTTATACCAATTTATACTAACAATAGAGGAATATGGAAATTGTCCAGGATGCCATCACAGTAATGACCAAACAGTAGGCTGCATGGGGCGACCAGGCTGGTGGGGGGGAGGAGGGGGTGTTTGACCAGGCCAGCAGGGGAGGGGCAGATGGGGGCAACCAGACCAGAGGGGGCAGGGAACAGTTAGGAGCCAGCTGTCCCAGATAGTGAGGGCTCAGACTGTGCTGAGGGGACTTTCCCTGACACCCCCCTGCTCCCCCAGGACTGTGGTTGGCAAACTGTGGCTCGTGAGCCACATGTGGCTCTTTGGCCCCTTGAGTGTGGCTCTTCCACAAAATACCACGGCCTGGGAGAGTCTATTTTGAAGAAGTGGCGTTAGAAGAAGTTTAAAAAAATTGGCTCTCAAAAGAAATTTCAATCGATGTACTGTTGATATTTGGCTCTGTTGACTAATGAGTTTGCAGACCACTGCCCTAAGAGGAAAGAACTGACTCATGTACATCTCTCCTCTGTAACTCTCTCCCCCTCATTTGACCATAGCCTTGGCAGTGAGGCAGGAAGAAACTCTCTGCAGACCATCACAGAAGAGAGACCTGTCTATAAGAGAAGAACCAGTCTCCTTCCTAGTATTTATAGGACCAAAGTAGCAGAAAGGAGGTCTCATTTGTTTTGAACTTTCTCCATTTCATCTCCCAAGTACTGTTAAACTCCCTCCACCTGCCTCCCTGGTCAATAATCTTCACTCAAGTTCTTCCTCAATAAAAATATTTTAATGACCTTCTCTTACCTAAGGTTCTCCAGCAAATAAAGCTAAGGAGCAACAGCTTCTAGGGGGAAAAACACTTAAAATGTCTTGAAGTAAAATATGAAAAAGAACCACGGTCTATATATCAAACAATTTTTGTCTCATATGACATCAAAACAAGTCATTTTTCCTCTGTGAAAGACCTGACATCTAAGTTGATTATTTTCAGAGTTTCGGTCATTGATTCATTCATTTATCATTTATTAACTCAATAGAAATTTATGAATTCCTACTATGTGGAAGGCACTGTTTCAGGCAAATGGCTCACTTCAGTGAAATAAAATCGACAAAAATGTCTGATCCTGGAAAGCTGACATTCTTCTATTGGGGGAAGATAGACAAACAATAAACATAAATAAAATATATCGTTTATCAAAATTTTAATTTCAGAGAAATATTAAGATTGAGAGGAAAGTGTCATGGGTAATCGTTCTGCCAAAGTTATACTGATTCATGTTGCAAACTTTCATAGATGCGGTAATTATCCTTAATCGCTAATTTATAAGGCATAGAAAGCAAGTCATATGGTAACTGCTTTATCATATTACATTAATAAAGTGACATTCTAGAAAAATGATCTCGGTCCTACCTGACACATTAGGAGGTTTGTGAAAATAGCTGTCACAATGAGTCAGTTTGATTGAGGTTATGGATTAGACATTTCTCAGCTCTGCCAAGAAAGACTGCAGAGGGACTCAGCATGATTCAGAGGAACTGGCTTCAGGGCACACACTGGATGGTGACAAAGGCTGAAATAAGCCAGCTGAGAAGGAAAATGGAGACTCAAACTGTTCAAACCCACTTATAGGTTTACTAGGAGATTTAGTCATCATGGGTAGCCACTAAAATGTTGCTCAGCAACAGGAACACCACATTAGATCTGCATTTGATCCTTATAAACTATTTGGTGCATTTAACTCTTAAACCTCCAAACCACAGACACCAGAAAATAGAATAATTCTTAAAAACCTAACCACACTATATTTAGGGCAAAGAAAGCGATGGTACAGAAATTCTTAAGCATGTCAATGAAGCCAGGATTTTTTTTCACAGCCCAAAGCAAAATCATCTTGGTCTGAGAATGGAATCTTATTAGCCAAGAGCATCTTATTAGCTCTACAAGGACTGGCTTAACAGGTCTACCATCATGTTATGATATAATAGTTCTTAAGTGAACCTGTTAAGATAAACAGGTATACCTTAGCAATATTTGCAATATGAAGAATGTAGACAGCTATCTAATGAACAACACTAAAATGTTACCCAAAAAACGGCCCAAAATAAGTCCACACATTTATAGTCAGTTGAATTTCAATAAGGGTGCCAAGATAATTTAACGGCGCAAGAATCCTTTCAACAAAAATTGGAAACTGGGAACTGGGTATCCATATGTAAAATAATGAGGTTAACTTTTGTACATGGTGTGAGGTACAGGTTTTGCTCAGAAAGTGAAACTAAGAGTTACCATATCATCCAGCAATTACCATAACTATAATCAGTAAGATGTAAGAGACCTAAATGTAAGAGTTAATTGATAAAACTCTTACAAGAAAACACAAGTATAAATCTTCATGGCCTTGGATTAGACAATAATTTATTAGGTATATCACAAGAAACAAACAAAAAAAGATAAATTGAACTTCATCAAAATTAAAAGCATTGCGCTTGTTTTTTTAAAAGGCAGCCCTGTCCTGGACAGTGTGCTCAGTGGTTAGAGCATC